GCTCAAGGAACTTCAGGGATCATTTAACTCTGGAGTATTCAAACCACTAGGGAAATATTTAAAGAGCTCCAGAAACATCTCAATGTCATTTAACTATTTAAAAATATATAATAAAGAACATACATCCAAATTTGTTACATACCAAATCTTACTGAAGTATAGCCAAACAAAATATGAACTATTGCAGACTGTGGAACAAACTTTACTTTGCTAACTCTGTGTACAGACCTTAATGTATCATAAACGTGTCATTGATTAGGAAGGTAAGAGCTCTGTACTGTCTTTTTAAAAATTCAGGCCACTCACATCAAATTGTTTAAGTTACCAAACTACTATAATACACCTGAGTAATTCTCAAATACCAGGCAAAGCATAGAAAATTTACACAGCAAATGCTTTCATCATGGCATCATAGCTTGTTGTGTAATAACTAGTAAAATCTTAATAAGTGGTTCAAATAGCATTTTATTATAGGTAGCTTTGGTCCTTATTTTAAGTTTTGAGCAATTCTTATCTAACATGTTTATGAACTTAAAAAAATAGAAACAGGTGTTTAGCTTCAACTTTAAAACAGAAATTTTTGATCACTCCTCTTTCAAGGGTATGGATAAGTTTAGCTAAGGAAAATCTAAGGCTGCAAAATTAGCTGTTAAATCACAATCTATAAGAATGAGAATTTTCCTGATACTGTGTAAGCAGACAAAACACAGTTGGATTCTGAGACTGAGAAGACTTCACCCGTCCATACTCCATTGTTGATTTATCAAAAATACCCTCAATTTTTAAAAATTGAATGCCTTTTTTTCTGTTTAATAGATTGCAAAATTTCCTTTTTCATTTGACAGCATTCCACTGCTTTAAAAACTGCTTGAAAAACTACTTAATCCGACCTTGCCTTCCAACAAGGGTAAAGCCAAACCATACTGTTTAGCGGGGGTATTTTTGATAATCTATTCCTGTGTTCAAAAAAAAAAAAAATCACTTAATACAGCCTCTATTAACAATCTCCTTGCCAAGAAGTCTATTTTCTCCCAAACTCACCTTACTTCCTACAAAAGCCCTAGAATTGCAATTCAGATTTCAGCATCAACGAACAAGGAATCAAATCAGGAAACACATTCAGGTTCCTCGACCAAGACTAATTTTTGTGGAAGTTTCTCCCTCTTCCTGAAAACTGCACTTCCAACTACCCATCCTTCAGTTCTAAGGTGAAAGTCATCCCTTGCAGTAAACCTTCGAGTTTCTCAAATCCCAATGAGTCCTTTATTCTGTGCTCCCACAACACCCTGCACTTCCCCACCTCAGCCGGGACTTATCAACCAAACAGAACCCAACTGCAACTGTCTTTGTTTGCCAGCACCTGGCAAGTAGTAACGCAATATTTGTTAAAGAAATCAACCGAAAGCAGTTTTAAATCATGTCACTATCTCCACTTCATATGAATCATAAAGTATTAAAGATAACCTCTACTAATTATTCAGTTTATAGATAAAAAACTTACGGTATAGAGAGGGAAATTAAGTTGCCCAAGATTCCAAAACTGGTAAAAGACAACAGAAAATAGAACCTAGGGCTCCTGAGTCAGGCACTATTTGCACTGTACTACGTTGTCCCCAGTTAAATTCCAGGTACTACTTGACACAACCCATATTGGGCAAACTAAAATGTTCAGAGTAAGGAATTTCTGGAAAGATAATTTGGCTTGCCCCTTCTCTCCAGAATCTACAAGGAAACTGGCTCCCGAGACAGTCTTATACGTTCTAAATATAAGGGATTTGGCGTTTTCCTAGGGAAAAAAGGCCCCACTGGCCGATTGTGGAGCCTGACGCTCTATTCCAGAAACTAAACTATAAAGCCGTAGGTCAAAATCGGCTCCTAGAGACCTACAGCAGATCTTTTATCACATTTCTTAGTTCTCATCGACTTTTTATTCCTCCCTGTTTTCCGTTTCGCTCAGCTAGTGCACATCCCAGTGCTCCCTCCTCCCTCGGACCCGAACCGTTCTCACTGCAGGATCTCCTCGCTGACATCCAGGCCGAAAGTTTTCCTCAACTGCTGGGTGCACCAGCCTACCAGCTGCTCCCGATACGCCGCCCCAGCCATCGCCATTTTCCCCAGCCGGAACCAGCTGGGCTGAAAAAGCCTCTTGTCCTGCGCCGGACTAGTCCCCTTCGCAACACCTACCTCGCTCACGCTGGTTCCGACCTCCTGCACCGCCCCTCTTGGTCGCACCGCCCCTCTGGGTCGCACCCCCTCTCTCGGTCGCACCGCCCCCAGCACAGATCCCTTCCACCAGTACCTGTTCTTCCTACTTCCAGCTTTCTGATTTATTTACACTTGTAATCAGAGCCTGCGCCTGATTCTTCCGCATCGTCAGTTGTAGGACTTGAAAATTGGAGATTATGCTTAGAAGACAGTACAAATGCCTATAAGAACTATAGTTTAGGAAAAAACAGAACAATAACTCGTAACATGAGAGGCCAGTTTTTAAATTGTCTGTTTTATGTAAAATGTTTAAAATAGTACTTGGAAGCTAGAGTAAAGCGCTGTAAGAATTAACTGGCGATAGTTTTATTTATATCTCGCCCTCCTTTCCTCGTAGTCTAATACTAGATTCACGCTGCTAAAACCTTCTATTTAATTTTTCTGAGCCAGATCTTTTCCAGGAGGGCCAAGACAACTCAGCAAGCTCAAGGGAGAACACTTTGATAAAACAGGTGCAGAGATTTGACTTCGAAGACTTTATACGTGAATTCTTTGTAATGATTTTTAAGAAGTTAAAGGTATGTATTTCGACCCGAGATGACCAGATTTAAAGGTCTTTTGCTTCTCCTGGGACAGAACTGGACAGTGGACTGGAGAAAATTTAGCCAGACTTCTCTGAAGAGCATAATGTCTTCTGATGCATTTTATCAATAAATTTAATTGTCTGGCTTTGTGTTACATTTATAGGTTCTTCATTCCCGTTAGGCTGTTTACACTAAGTAATTACATGAATTAGATGTTTCAGCTTTTTATGCTAATGTTTTCATTGACATAAAGAATCAAAATTATATGTGTATTGATTTACACTGAGTTTAGACTATTTACATTATTATTAATTTGGAAAATATGATTTTCCAGCTTAAAAAATGCTCTATTCATTAATAGTAGATACAAGTTTTGTTTCTTCATAAAAATCCTCTACATTTAATACCAATTTATAACATTTTCCTGTTTCTATATATTCAGCCCCCACAACTAAAATGTTAACTTCTTGAAGACAGAGACTATGACTTAAGGCTTTTTGCATATAAGACTCAGTACATCATATATTATAATGAGATTACTAGGTCCTCAAGAATAAAAATGTTTTCATAAGGCATATTAAGATTGTCATCTCTAGTTTTTAATGAATGTAATGTAATGCCATTTGCAATCATTATCTTTTATCAAAATGCATTTCTGCCTGAGCAAAGCTAGCACACTTATTTAACATGACTTAAAGATATTCTTTTGTATAAACTTAGGGAGAAATTTTACTCATACATATAACTTTTCTTAATGCTCTAGGCCTTTGAAATTTTCAGATTCACAACACATAACTCTCTGTGTTTTATTTAACCGTAAAGGAGAAGAACCTCCTCAAAGCAGACATTTAAATTAAGAATTTTTACTAGGCATCACTGCTTTTTCCCT